AGAAATCACTGTACATTATGTTCATCCTCCAGTCGATGATGTAGACGATAAGTTGACAGAAAGGCAAAACATGTTGTTAAGTCATACGGAAACAGCAAATAGAACTTAGAGAAAGAAAAAAGAATTTTCACCTGTTTATTCTCATGCATTTCAACAGACCAGCCCAGCCAATATGCTTTATACTAACCCTATCAATCGCATAAAAAATAATTTAGACTATACCTGACTTCGTGATTACATTGGTTAATTGCCAAGTTTTTTTTCTGAACTAGAGTTAAATGTAGTTCAGAAGGATCGGAAAGGGTATGCGCTGAGAAGTGAGACGTCTAAATGGCATGACACGCCATACAGACTATCTGTTGGAATCCCAATGCGAAGCAAGAAACTGGGCACGCAATACGAATACATAAAGAAGATCATGCGGAGATGAAATTGAAACTATGAGCAGGCATAAAACCAGCTAAAATTGACGACACAGAATCAAGTGTTATGGAGGTTTATCACTGACTTTTTTATAGATTTAATTTAATGGCATTTTTTCTGTATCACTGAAAGCAGTGTTATTCAGACAAGTGTAACTTTCCAATAGTCTGGAAGACAAAGTTATTATTATTCCTAAATATTTGCATGAGTGTTGACCACAATGAACAACTGACAATTTCCTAGTATATTTTCCTATTCCTAATTAGTAATTCAAAAGACTTACATAATAATGGTGGGATATCTGTGCTAAACAAGGAAGCGTAAGAAAAAATTCAGTTTAATAATAATAATAATTGAGATGGCCTGATGGAAACTAACTTTGATGCGGCATGGGCCGAGTAGTAGGCGTCTGTCAATGTGATGTTATCTTATTGGTCGTTTATCTGACTTACTAAAGGACAGTCAATATTTACACAATTTAAATCTTGATCGATAGAGACTGTCGAGTAGGTCTGCTATTGCATAAAATAAAGCTCTCATACTTGTCTGACAGCATGTGTGAATGTTTCTGTTTGCAGCTAAAGGTGAGTTTCCCCTTGAGAAACAACAATAGCAGCACGTTTTGCACATTTTAAAGAAATTTTCGGATTTATTGTTATCCCAATACTGTGATATTTTCTAAATGCAAAGCTAAAAGTTCTGATTGCTATTTTACATCCATGATAGTTTCACGCTTTATTCATTTACAATATGAAACCGTCACACTGTGGAAAGCAGTCACAATAGCAACTATTCGGTAGGAATACACAAAATCGATTTAGATAAAAGTTGTAAATGGGAATATGGATTATTTATTGCAATGAAATTTCAATTCTTACATCTCTGTGAATAATTTACACGCTACCTCACTGGTGGATAAGTTACTATCCCTTATGCGAAGAAAGACAAAATCGTGTTCACAAATAATTTATTTTTGTATAGGAAGTGATTAAATGTAATGATGGCTTTTTATGATGCAGATTTAACAGTAATATTGTAGTCTTATTTATTATTATTGTTTCCTTTAGTTCCTAGAGGAACATAGGGCTTCAGTCGCACGTCTCCATTGTGTTCGGTTCTCCAACAACGTTTTGACCTGGCTCCATGTCTGTCCACATGCTTACATCTCCTCTTCACATGACCTCCTCCATGTCACCCTCGCACTGACGACCAACTCGCCTCTCCGCATTCCGGTTCCACTCGAGCGATGGCCTGACGTGTGACGGCACTCATTTGATGGTTTTCTAAGAGTATGGTCAATCCACCTCCATTTCTTCCTGCATATTTACTGCACAAGTGGTTCCTGCTGAGTTGGTTCATTCATTACCAGAGGTCTCTGTTGCTGATCTTTTCTGGTCATCTCATCTTGAGTGGTATTGAGCGAAGACAGCTGTTGATGAAAGTCTGTAGTTTGTCCAAAGTGACCTTCGTTACGCGCTGGCCAAGTCTCTGATCCGTAAAGTAGTACTGATCTCAAATTGGAGTTGAAAACCTGGATCTTATTTTCCATGCTGAGTGCTGTTGACCTCTACACAGACTTCAGAGAAATGAAAGCTTGCCTTGCTTACCCGATCCGTGCTTTCCAATCCTCATCAGTTCCGTCTACCTGTAGTTGAAGCAATACTTCCCAGGTAGGTAAAGGAGATTGCTTCTTTCAGATTTGAACTATTTATGCTGATTGTTGTTACCTCTGTTTTCTCTATGTTCACCTGTAGTTCAAATCTTCTCTGGATTCTTCGTCCGTCGACTTGTTGCTTTTCCCTTGCATATCTTCCAGTTTGTGAGAAATCAGACATATATCATCGGCGAAGTCCAGATCCTCCAAGGTTGTAGTCTTAGTCGTATCCTATTTCCAACACATATATTAACTAATATTAGTTCAGTTTGATCTGATACACAGTTAACGCTTTTAGCTGTAAAGGAATAAGACATCAATCCAGCATTTTATATAGTCTCAGTCCAGTTTGATGTGAGTAGTTTCTAACTAATTATTTGAATCAGTGGTGGTGTTCATCATTGGAATGTTTTGTTCACAGAACAATTCCTAATAAAACAGGTGATGAAGTGGTCAATTAAAAGTGCTACGAAAAGTAAACATGTAGTTCACCTGATGCGCATTCATGTATCTCCTAAATTAAGTGTACTTCACATCTGCATTCTCAGATCAATTATCTACAAGTAATAATGAAAAGATGTCAAGTTATTTCATTTTCGCGAATTCTAAGATTCATTTGTTTAATTCTAATGGTCGAATTTTTTTTTAAAAACACACACACACATACTCGAATGAATATTGGACATTTTTTTTGAATAAGTTTCGCATGAATTTAACATTTACTAATCATTAATGCCATCTGACAGCTTTATTTTTTAGGAAATTCGTATATTATCATGAGTGGACTACTTTTTTTATTGCCGGAAAGTTCATAATAATCGAAAATTAATGTTTCCATATAAACTGAATGAATTATGAAGGTTCATATAAATGGATAATTAAATAATGAAGAAAGATGAGATGGATAGGATGTATGTCATTTTTTAGCCGGAATGCAATCAACTATGATGTTATCTGGTCGGTGATGGCTGGGAGTGAAACTTGGAAGGAGCATTTGAGACTCGTCAGCTTGATGTAACTGTATGCCGGTAAATAATGGAATTTCTACTGAAACTTCAACACATACTAAGAGGCAACAGGAAAACACAGAGATGGAGCGATTTCGAACATGGAGGTGAAAAGATGGTACATTTAAAATAATTTCAATAATAATTTGGAGAAAATGACGATCAGAAAAATTCTAAGGATAGGCGTTATACTATTTGAAATGTATCGACAAGATGCATGCATTTGGTCGCAGGAAATATAAATATATATATTTTTTCGATTTGGTTTCAGAAGTATGCAGATTTTTGACAGACAGTAGTTACTTAAGGATTTAAATATTTAGCGCCAAAATATGTAGACCACTGATATAATACGGAATTTCGTGGCTTAAATTATAATAATATTGTAAAAATGCGTTTACACACAGTACTTCAACAGTCCCCAACATGACCCATTGCAAATCATTTCCACCTTGCTCGGGATTTTAAATTAACATTAAAATCGATAATATTTCGTTTGAAGCGGTATTATTCTATCCAAAACACTTTTTAATATTCCACAATTATTCTTCCTATTCATTTCCTTCAAAAAATGTACACTAGTAGGTTGTAATCCATTGGGAAATGGGCGTGAATATAGATTGCCATTCAACAATGTAACTGAATAATTTAAAATCATGTGGGTAAAAATATGATGCATTTAATGGATGGGAAGTAAAGCAGCTAAGTGGTTTAAACAAGCCACCGATAGTATTGCATTTAGATTTCTGGACAGCTTATTCATAAGGCTTTCAATGTCATTTAAAGCAAGGATATTGTAATTTTACTAGGAATTAAATCGAACTGAGTTTTCTATCCTGTCCTAATCTCTCTCTCTTTCTCCTTCTTTATGTTAACTCCCCCCCCCCCGCCCTTATATCCAACGGGATTTTCACCCACTCCTGTTGCTTTTGTGTCACGACTGAAGTTTACTTATGCGACAGAGAATCATTTTCTGAGGTGTACAAGTACTAGTTAAATCGATTGAATTTCAGATTTTCTTCTTCCCTCATAAATTTTTTTCTCATTTTGAGGTATTCGATTCTTTCCAAAAGAAGTCATATTTGAACAACACAATTTCTTCATTAATTTGAGATGTAAGGGTGTAGACATTGGCCAGTTTCAGTCGTAGGACTATAAGTCACTAGATTAACACATAGTAGGCACTACCTGTTTGCGCCTCCATCCAGATAGTCTCATCAATCCTATAAATAGGTGAGCATGATGACTACCGAATGTATAGTAGACCTACGGATGATTGCTTAGTTTCCTTTCAAGCATAGTCTTGTGTACGCTAAGCACAAAAAATATCAGTAGAATTTTATGGCTCAGAAATGTGTTTACAAAAGAAAATTAGTACTTTACATTAAACAGTGTGCATTGTTTTTGAACAGGTCATACTGTTGATCAGTTAAACCTTAACTCTTGGTGGTTTAGACAATCCTATGACTTAGTGAATAAAAGTAAAGTGTATATACTGGTCGAAAATAGTCCAGCAATTGAATATATATACCTTTTCCTACACGTTCCCCAGTGGAACATAGGGCTTCAAGCTAGTGGCTTGAAGTTTCTGTAGTAGTGTTTATTTTACAGGATGGGGTTGCTAGCCTCATGCCCAACCTTTCCACTTTACCTGCATTATTTCTGACTTAGCGAGGTAAGGGAGGAGTGCGTCGGCCGGGGATCGAACCCCGGACCATCTGCATGGTTGGCGAGCGTCCTAACCGCTATACCACCGACGCAGACACAGCAATTGTATATAGAGTTTTGTATTTAAATATTTTCAAATATTCAGCATATTCATAGTTTAGACTTTCACATTCCTCACACAGTGCTTGCTAGTAGAATACTTCGATTTTATACACGGGGTTAAACCACTTTATATTCTTACCAGCTGAGAATAGAATAAAGGCGAATATCTGTGGGGAAAGCGGAGTTTTAAACACGCGTTTAATTTCAGTTTACCGCTGGGCAGCAGTATAAATACGCGACCGTATGAAATGCTGAGTCCAAGAAAATCACGCCTTCAGATCAACACATTTTTGTCCAGCTGATGAGCTACAATCTAGTACCCTATGATTTCTAGTCCGCTGATGGTCGACTGTGCGTTGTTCTTTGTTACAAGTTGCACTAATAAGTAATTCGATTGGCTTCTTAGAACAAAACATCTTATTGATAGATTCAGAGAGAGAATAAAGCAAATGTATCATTAGGTTTACAAAGATTCGATTTATTCATTTCCGGATAGATTTCATTGTACTCTCTAACTGACAGTGTCTCCTAACTTTATTCGTATTCGAAATCAATAAATTAATTCCTGCAAACAACTAAAATTAACTAGTGGAGCGTTTTTTCCTCTTCTGGTTGAAAAAGAAAGGCATTCAGTTTCAAGTGAAAATTTAATACAAAAAGCAATACCAACAACAACAACAACAACGACAATAACAACGAGGACAACAGCAAAAACAGCAACAAAAAAACTGCAATCAAATTGTCTTTCAGTCAGTCTGCAGGAAAAAAAGAACCACTTTACACAAGTTTTAATTTATAGTTTGGCAGGAATGCAAACTTAAAAATAGATAGAAGGAAAAGCAAACAATCACGAAAATAAATGTTTTAAAAAAGAAACGGAAGAAGAGATGTTCGGGGGTGGGGTGGGGTGGGGTCATTATGAATACCGAAATCAGAAAAATTAAATTAGTTTAGATCCAGTTTGATCGGACGATCTTTCGTTGTACCCTCAATGATCATCAAATAAATGTCAGGAAAACAGACAGACGATTTTAAAAGAACCGGTCATGTCAGAGAAACAGAACAACAGAGAAGCACACATAATATTAAAAGAACAAAAATTCAAAGTGACAAATCGATAGAAATTACAGACGTACACAAATAAACTAAACATATACACTCCGCAAAAACATAGAATATGAAGTAATTCATCTCTTCTGGATAACTAGACACGGTTTAGACTGACTGGTGGACAATAATCTCATCAATCGATACTACTATTATTACTGCTGGTCTCTTCTCAAAATATGGCAAAATTATTATTATCAGTCGAGTAAATAGGTGCTAAATGACGAACAAACAGACAGACAAAGCTTTAAGAATTTGACCATGTTTTCAACCATGATTCACACTTACTTACTGTTTCATTTGACATTTTCGAGGTGGTAGCGTTTTGTTCAGTATTTCTGTCAGCATCAATATCACTATTATCAACATCATCATTGTTGCCCTTGGTCACCGCTTGATCAGCATTTTCAATCGATATCGACGGAGTATTCTCAAGGCGTTTATTATATGATAAATTATAAGACATATGATTGTTATTAATATTATTATTTTCAAACTCAGTTGACGTTATCATCATACTGCTCTCGTCTAGACTGGTTAAACACGGTAAACTAAGTGATGTCGTTAGATTGACATCAGGTTTATTATGACTGATATGTTTGGATGCACTGAAGCGTTTGCTTAGGTGCTGATGAAAATAGCAGAAATTTCTTGGAGAATTCGCTGAGAACGATTCAAGTATATCCCATAGTCTTGATGTATTCACGTTATTACTAATGTTATTGTTACTATTAATACTGCAGTTTATGCTAATGTTTTCATTATTAGTAATACTACCAGTGTCAGTATTTACATTGATTGCTGATAAGCTAAGAAATCTTTTATCCTGAACTTCATCAATTTGTTGTTGTAAATCTGTGTACAGAATATTACAGATTGGACAATTTCGACTACGATGATTATTATCACTTACATCGGAGCGCAGGAAATCATTATCTGATCGATCATCGTCGATTTGTTCACTGACATAAGATAAACTAGGCACATGTACAATCAATGATGCTGTGGATGCAGTGAAATCGTGCCTTTCTGGTAATTTTATATGAAATGATGTATTGCAATCGACTGTATTACGGTAGTTACTGCTGCTGTTGATGTTGTTCTTGTTGTTTTTGTTAGTATATATTTTTGAATATTTATCCAAGTGAATAAAATCTGATAGTGGAAAATTTAAACGTTTCTCTTGCAGGTTGGATTTCCCACTACCACTATGCTGCTGTTGCTGTTGTGTTTTATAATCAGGACGCATTAATGCCTTACGATTGGACACTAGTGCATTGGAATACTTGTTCGATTCAAGATTATTTAACGATGAAGTTAAACTGGATAAACCAGAATTCGAGTCTTTTTCACTTCTACTGACATCATCTGAATTTGATGTTAATAAGTCCAACTTTAAGCCAAGCTTATTAGATGCTGGAGGTTTATGCGTATACACAGACATGGATCATTTGTAAAATTCAATAGATAGTAAATAATAATAATACTGGTAATCACTTAAATGTGAATAGCATCCAAGACATGTGAGAACTGAGAAAATCTACACTTCTTTCAATTTTTGTATAATTTGTGTATGTCTGTAATAAGTGTCAGAATTAGTCAATCACTACTATTGGTTGAAACTGTTCATCAGATCAATCAGTTTTCGGCTAAACCAATAAAATTAAGTCTAATTCACTAAAGCTCATTTTTGATTGGAAGAATTGTATATTACTTTGACCATGAACATTTTACTATTTGTCTTATGGGATTAATAATTACATCACTAAAACATGGGGACTGGAATGTTTCTTAGCCTTCATGGACCAAATGACAGGGTCCCGTAGTATGTAGGTCTCAGATTTCCTCACCTCAGTATGATATTCACAGTGTGCATCAAATATAACATGTGGTGTACAGTTTTACAATGATTGAGTCAGTTGAAGTGTTTCTCTACATCGAAGAGCAAACACCTAAGCTGTGTTGATAAACACAGATCATTCAAGTCGATAATATGATCAGTATGTTTAGTGACATAGGACTGTTTATGCGGTGTACGAGATTGTAATAAGTATGAAATGCAAGGCTGTCTTTCAATTGAGACCTAATATATCAGACTGAAGTGATTTCATCCTACACAAATACATACATAGAGGTGTATTGTCTATTTAATAATTCTTCGCATAATTGATATATAGACTATGGATAAAATTTTCTATTTTGATAGAAGAGCACAATGTTATACAATAAAATTTACAGACGGTCATGTTTCGCGGATAAAAAATTGGTCGTAATCATAGCGAGGCGCTCACAAAAATTTCTCGATTCATTTATATACATGAGTGAAAATTGCTTAGTCTGTGTGGAAGTCAACAGCACTCACCATCAAAAATAAGATCCGGATTTTCGACTGCAATGTCAAGTCAGTCAGTGCTACTATACGGATCAGAGACTTGGCCAGCGCGTTATAAAGAGCGCCTCAAACAAATTACAGACCTTCATTAACCGTTGTCTTTGCTCAATACTCAAGATCAGATGGCCGGCCAGAAAAGATCAGCAACAGGGATCCCTGGCGGTGAGTGAACCAACACAACAGGAACCGATTGTGAAAGAAATAGGCAGGAAGAAATGGAGATGGATTGGCTGGCCATGCACTGAGGAAACCATCAAGTGACATCACTAGACAAGCGATTGCACGAGTGGAATCCGAAAAGGAAGCGGGCGGCGAGTTGGCCGTCAGTGTGAGGGTGACCTGGAGGAAGTCATGTGAGGAGGAGATGAAAGCATATGGGCAGACTTGAAGCGGGGTGAAAATGTTGTCAGAAAACAGATGGCGATGGAGGTGCGCAGCTGAAGCCCTATGTTCCTCAAGGAATTAAAGGATATAATAATAATAAGATACAGCGTTTTCTATGGCGCTGAATCACATTATTCTCCTTTCGGTTTAGGTTTCATGTTCTTTCCGACACGTTTTGTGTCGGGTAGCCATTTTTAGCCAGGATATTTTTGAGGAATAGGAGCTTCTCTTCCATGCAATCGCTGCTGCAGATTTTTCTAATGCGATGAGCTGGTGAGCTGATGATAGCTCGTTTTCGGCTCAAAGGTATCCAACTATAGAAATGCGTTAGTTGGCCGCTTCATGTCGGTTTTTTGTGGATGGACCTCTTCGGGCTTCCATCATCTCTTTTTGTCAATTCCACGTCCAGAAATGGAATCTTTGAATCTTGAAGGAACTCAACGGGTTTCTACGTTACTCTGTCAAACTTGCCGAAGTTAATGCAAAATTGGAATTTTTCGAGAGCTGTATTACTAATCGCGAATATGCAAAATGGTTCTGGAAAGCGTTGCGGAGACATCATATATATCCTAATTCAAAAACTCTTCAACGTCACACTAGGTACGTCATCGATTCTATAAGTTCACGTATATTTGAATTGCAAAGAAACATATCACAGCAATCTTCCACTCTTTGTGAATTGTCATCATGTGAGAGACAATCGTTCAATGAATACGTTACTCTGGTGCAGAACAGAAGAGCGGAATATGTTAAATCAGATTTATACAAAAGCTTGAAGCCCGTGGAAGTCCAGAATAAATTCCTTAGCGATCCTAATAAATTTGTTTTCAATCATTCTTTAGTTACGTTATCAACGGTACAACTAGAAGCTTTATCTCTTGGACTAAAATTCTGTGATGTTAATCTTATCAACAACAAACTTCATACGTATATTCAATTCGAGAACCTCATAAGCCAAACTCATGATATTACTCCAGTCTCTGACGCAGATTTCCTACACTTTAAGTCAACAATCTTTGATTGATATAGTTAATATCTCAGCTTAAAAACTTAAGCCTGACGTCTAGTGACAAAAGAACATAGAAAACAACTCAAAGAACTAAGAGACGATAAAGAATTAATAATAACACGTCCTGACAAAGGATCAGGAGTAGTCCTAATGGACAGAGATCTATATATTAACAAATTGACAACACTTACATCAGATAACAAGAAATTTGCCAAGCCCAACAGTGAGACAAACAAGACAGAACTGATTAAAAGACAATTAATAAATGTTCTAAGAAGGATGAAGAACGACCGTCTAATACCTGAAGACCTGTTCGATTGCCTCAAACCGACAGGATTAACCATTCCACGACTCTACGGCTTACCAAAGGTGCACAAACCTGGCTTGCCTCTTCAACCGATTCTAGACATGTAAGGGTCGTCATGCCATCCAATCGCCAAATGATTGTCCGAAATGTTGTAGCCGGTAAGACAAATACTCTCTACGCGACACTTTTGAGTTCATCGAATGCATAAAAGATTTGAATGTAGATGATAAGCGAATGTTATCACTAGAAGTCGAATCTCTCTTTACCAACGTGCCACTAACAGAAACAATTTGCTTTTTGTGCAATTATATAGAGAAATCTAGTATAAGCGTTGGAGTACCAGTATCATATCTGAAGGAATTGTTGCTGAGATGCACGCTGAATGTACAATACACCTTCAGCGGCAACATCTACAGACAGAAAGATGGATTTGCAATGGGATCTCATCTTGGCCCGCTTTTAGCAGACTGCTTTATGGCCAGTTTATTGAATGGAGTTTTAAAATCAACAATTAACAAATTACTACTGTACAAAAGGTACGTTGACGATACCTTTATTGTCTGCGACAATAGCTTGAACCGCAACTGCATCTTACAAGAATTTAATACTTCCCATCCTTCGATTAAATTCACAGTGGAATTAGAAAACGATTCAAAGATTCCATTTCTGGACGTGGAATTGACAAAAAGAGATGATGGAAGCCCGAAGAGGTCCATCCACAAAAAACCGACATGAAGCGGCCAACTAACGCATTTCTATAGTTGGATACCTTTGAGCCGAAAACGAGCTATCATCAGCTCACCAGCTCATCGCATTAGAAAAATCTGCAGCAGCGATTGCATGGAAGAGAAGCTCCTATTCCTCAAAAATATCCTGGCTAAAAATGGCTACCCGACACAAAACGTGTCGGAAAGAACATGAAACCTAAACCGAAAGGAGAATAATGTGATTCAGCGCCATAGAAAACGCTGTATCTTATTATTATTATATCCTTTAATTCCTTGAGGAACATAGGGCTTCAGCTGCGCACCTCCATCGCCATCTGTTTTCTGACAACATTTTCACCCCGCTTCAAGTCTGCCCATATGCTTTCATCTCCTCCTCACATGACTTCCTCCAGGTCACCCTCACACTGACGGCCAACTCGCCGCCCGCTTCCTTTTCGGATTCCACTCGTGCAATCGCTTGTCTAGTGATGTCACTTGATGGTTTCCTCAGTGCATGGCCAGCCAATCCATCTCCATTTCTTCCTGCCTATTTCTTTCACAATCGGTTCCTGTTGTGTTGGTTCACTCACCGCCAGGGATCCCTGTTGCTGATCTTTTCTGGCCGGCCATCTGATCTTGAGTATTGAGCAAAGACAACGGTTAATGAAGGTCTGTAATTTGTTTGAGGCGCTCTTTATAACGCGCTGGCCAAGTCTCTGATCCGTATAGTAGCACTGACTGACTTGACATTGCAGTCGAAAATCCGGATCTTATTTTTGATGGTGAGTGCTGTTGACTTCCACACAGACTTAAGAGTAATGAAAGCTTGCCTTGCTTTTCCGATTCTGGATTTGATATCCTCGTCAGTTCCGCCCGCCTGTAGTTGAAACGATGCTTCCGAGTTGGGTGGGTAGGTGAAGGAGGCTGTTTCTTTCAGGTTCCTCCCATTTATGCTGGCTGATTGTTGTCTGTTGTTGTTGTCGCTGTTGCTGTTGGCCAGGGAGCTTCATCACCTCTGTCTTCTCCACGGTCACCTGAAGTCCTATCTTCTCTGGATGTTCCTTGTGCCAGCTTGTTGCTTTTCACTTGCATATCTTCTAGTTTGTGGGAAATCAGACACAGACCACATCGGCGAAGTCCAGATCCTCCAAGTTCTTTTTTTGTGTGAGTCCATTTTATGCCTGTTTCCTGATTGCCCGTTGTCTGTCGCATTATCCAATCTACTGCAATCAGGAAGATCATTGGTGATAGTAGACAGTCAGCTTGTCTCACTCCCGTCCTCACTTCGAAGGCTTCCGTAAGTTTCCCGTTGTGGATTACTTGGCATGCAGCATTGTCATACAACTATTGGATGAGATGTATAATTGTCTATGGCATCCCGTAGTATCGAAGTAGTTGCCAAATAAACTATCGATCGACGCTGCGCTATCGAAGGCCTTTTCAAAGTCGATGAAGTTGAGTGAGATAGAGAGGTGACTGAATGCCATTTCAAGCTTTGTTCAATGATGATCCGTAGAGTGGCGATTTGATCAATTCATGATTTGTTTCTCCTGAATCCAGCTTGTTCCGGTCGAAGTTTTGCATCCAGGTTGGCTTGTTCGATTCTCTCCAGGATGATCCGGCTTAGCATTTTGCTTGGAATGGACAGGAGCATAATATCGTGCCAGTTCTTGCACTGACTTAAGACTCCTTTCTTTGGTAGTTTGAATAAGTATCCTTTCTTCCAATCCTCGTGTACTTTGCCCTCTCTCCACACCTTCTCCAACAATGGCGTCATCAAGTCCGCTGTTGTTTATGGGTCCATTTTCAATGCTTCTGCTGGGATTCCATCTGGTCCTGGTG